AAATCACATCATGTATAAATCATACTGAGCAAGCAAATCAGCAAAGTAAAGGAAACATTTACCACATAATTAACACACAGGGGCCCAAATAATATTTGTTTGATACAAATTTTTAGCATTTTATTATAATTAATTGGCGTGATATTCTGATATGTTTATATCAGTCATGTGATTATTTCCCCATTCTCTTGAAATTAAGAATACAATCATAAATCATGAGCGCAAACTTTACTTCTACTCTAAAACAGAGAGATTTATAAAAGTTATGGAGAGCTACGGAGAGCACAGTAGGACATTTCCCCTTTGTTGGTGATGTGGTTACCGTGACAACAGTTATCAAAACACCGCTAGGACTAGCTAAGTGCTAACTAGATGTTATGACTAATCTCGTATCACGCATATTTCTAATGTAGCTACAGTTAACTATCATAGCGTGCGCCCCCATGTCAAAATATAAGGTAAATAGAAAGCACTGTGTGTACATTTTGTTGTATTGTAACGTTAGGCTTTTTACCGACAAGAAAACGTTAATAGACGTGATATAACGTTAGTTAAGTTTACCTTAGGTTAACATGTTAATTGCCATATATTAGCCAATGAGGAGTAACGTAGTACACGGGTGTAACGTTACCAAATAACGTCACTAACGTTACATAGCCTTATACCTGTAGTAAGTAATTACCGGTAGGTTGTTACTGGGGTTAGGGTTAACTAACGTTAGGTAGTAGAGGACTTGCTAATATATGTGTTTGCTGCTGTAATTTAAGTGTACATTTTTACTTCTTAAGTTATTCAAAACTATGGGGAGTTAAGCTAAATGTGGGTTTGCTTTCTTCACCTTTGCAGACACCTGGATACAGGGGTTCATATGACTGTAGCAAAAGTGAGGAGCGGTGAGTGTTGTTCATAAGTTGGTTGTGAATAAAAAGTTTCTCACAAGTACTGGTGACAGTGACATGTTACAATATCTCCTCAGGGAGGGAAGGAGTTGTGTGCGTTACAAATGTGGCCTATTCAACACCATACAGGATGTCCTGCGGCAAAGACCAGGTTGGGTCGAAGTCAAAGAGTGAGTAGGGTTGTCTGTTTATGTCACATCACATCAGCTTCCCTGTCATATCCCTGGCTTGAATCTGAATCTTTTTCTCACAGCGATGGAGAGTGGGACTTCCACTGGTGTGATGTGGGCTGGCTCAGGGAGAATTTTGATCACTCCTACATGGAGGAACATGTAAGGATAAACCACTTTCGCAACCATTATGAGGTGAGGCAGCATCACTCTGGCATTCTTTGAGACAATAAACCAGAGATTTCAATATATCCTTCAAATCATAAGTTATGTTGTTTTGTATTTTGTATGCACTTTGTTACAGCTGACTCGCAAAAACCTCATGGTGAAAAACCTTAAAAGATATCGGAAAAATCTTGAAAGAGATGTTGGCCGGATGGAGGCGTCGAAATGTGAATTTTTTCCCTGCACCTTTGCACTGCCAAGCGAATACCATCTCTTTGTAGAGGAGTTCAAAAGAAACCCTGGCAGCACCTGGATCATGAAGCCGGTTAGCTAAAGTATAAATAAAACAATATTTAATTTAGTATTTGGAAATTTTGCAAACACGTCATATAAATTAACTGGTATATTTATTTAGGTTGCAAAATCTCAAGGGAAAGGTATTTTCCTGTTCAGGAAACTGAAAGACATCATGGATTGGAAGAAGGTAACGTGTATTTAGCCTATTACTTCAAGGAATTGGGTGTAAATTCAATTACTAAAAGCAGACATTCTTCACACACACCCACATATTCAGATTGTTAATATTGTACTTAAGCAGGATGGCACCCGGTCAGAGGAACAGAAGGATGCAACTCAAGTGGAAAGCTATGTGGCACAACGCTATATAGAGAACCCCTACCTAATTAATGGTAATAAACTAACTGAAAAATACACCTTATTGCAAAACTAATTCAGAAAAATCATCAAATCTGCTAACAAATAATTTAACAAAAACTACTAATGGACAGGAACTGTGAACAGGAGGATGTGTGTTTAATAGAAGCTTTATATGTATATATTATATTGCTTAAGTAGTTTTTATACATTTTGTCTCTACAGGCAGAAAATTTGATCTGAGGGTCTATGTGCTGGTTACATCAGTACGTACTGAACCTTGTGAATCACAAAGTTTTATACAAAATATCAATTGTGCGGAATTTGTGAATCAATGCGCTTGTGCTTGTGTTTCAGTATGTTCCCTTGAAGGCCTGGCTGTATCGAGATGGTTTTGCCCGCTTCTCAAGCACCCGCTTCTCTCTTAGTAGTATTGATGACAGGTGTATCCTTTGTTTGCGGTCATAACATTTAGTCACTATTCATTTGGATATTGAAACACTTATGTGATAGTCTGGCTCTGAGTTTTTAGTACCAGTGTGCCAGACATCCCTTAACAAGTTGAGCCTTTGTCTAATGAAATATTCAAACAAAGTCAATTTTAGTCTGTTTGACCCAATGTCAGAGGCTGTTGTTCCTAATTCTGTCACTTACATCCAATGTGGAAGGCATAAGTACATCATTAAAGTTCCCAAAATTCTACTTAATTCCCCTTTTCAGATATGCACCTGACCAACGTGGCTGTTCAGAAAACAGCGCCAGACTATGATCCTGAAAAGGTGTTAAAATTCAAGAACTCGTTAGAGCATATATAAGCCAGTTTTTCTGAAATGTGACCCCTTTAACCAATTATGTAACCTTTTTACTGCTCATTGTTTTATTCATCTCTAAATAGGGATGCAAGTGGCAGATTCAGCAGCTTCGAAGATACCTGACTGCAAAGCACGGCAGAGAGATGGTAGAAATCCTGTTTAAAGAGATGGATAACATATTTGTCCGCAGTCTACAGAGCGTACAAAAGGTCATCATAAATGACAAACACTGCTTTGAGCTCTACGGGTACGACATTCTACTGGATCAGAACCTCAAACCGTAAGTGCTCATATGGTCTGCACATACACTAAGTGCTTGCCAACACTGTGCATCATCACCTAGACATATTCACTTGCAGAAATGCACTAAGGCATGCATGCCCACAAATTAACAAAGAAGAGCACATGCACAGACAAGAAAATGTGCCATGTTTCATTTGCCTTCCTGCAATCTTAGACAAAGCAGTAAATCTGTTAGTGTTGGGCTCCAGAAATTACAATGACTGAATAACCCCATAAATATATCTAAAATGAAAGGTATGCAATAATCCTGTTGTAAATAATAGCTCACACACTGATGACAGTGTCTCTCTCCAATACAAATACATTCACTTGCTTGTGCCTACTGTCGTGGGAAATTGTATCTTGCTGGTGAGGGATTAAGCAAATAATTGAGTAACAACCAACCATTGTCTTTGAAGAATTTATTAATAAAAGAGAATAAACAGAGAAGTACTAAAACACATGTACAGCTGGTCCAGAGACCTGCTGCCTAGGGCAGCTTCGGGCGCCTGGCCCCAAGCAAAGGGATGCATAATCATTTACACAGTCTAGGTTTCTATGTTTGGGGGAACAGACATCCTCTCTCAGCCTTGAATGAACATTCCAGGAGAGGAGAGGAACAACAAGAGGGGGAAAACACCAAAACAATCTCACGCTCTGACCTAAAACCTAGTAAATGTGGACAGACTAACATAGGGAGTATAGGAGAGGAAAGGTTAAGGATAAAAACACAATAAATATATATCTATAAGCCATAACAAAATGAGTAATATCAATAGTAATAATAATAATAAAAGAACATACATACATAAAAGATTAAATGTAAGAGGACACAATTTTCTGCCATAACACCTACCTAACAATCTTTATTGAACTGTTTTACTTTTCCTAATGCTGGCTCAAAAGGCTAAGTATGTTTTGGTGAATGTCATCAACTTCCATCTCTTTGCAGGTGGTTAATTGAGGTGAACGCCTCTCCGTCACACTCACCCAGCAGTAGAGAAGATTATGAGATGAAGTGCCGGCTGCTGGAAGACACTTTGAATGTTGTTGATATGGAAGGAAGGTAAATGCGCCTATGTCATTGTGTGTTTGCCTTTTTGTCATCAGGGAACAAAGTGTGAGGGTGTGTCTGTGTCTCTCCATGGATTATAGTCATAACAATCTATATTGATATTCATCAATTTAAACAAATTTGTAAGTATAATCTCTTGACTCTGGGTTATGGCATTTTTGAACATTAAGAACATGGGTTGAAAGAAGCACCTTTAAGAAACACTAACAGACTGTGTCATAGCAACAATCCACAACTTACTACCATTTTCCTCAGATCACAAGGTGTATGCAGCGTTCTAATTATCTGTGTTTTTTTCTCATTAGGCTGACTGGCAAGGAGAAAAGGGTGGGTGGCTATGATCTCATGTGGAACGATGGGCCTGTCTATAAAGAGGATGTCAACCTAGAAACATTTGGCAGTTCATGTTTCACCGCCAACACACACTTAGGTAAGCGGATGGAGGCAACAAAACATTCTGATAAATGTGCAAAAGTATACATGTAATTAAGACCATGGTATTTAATCATGTGGGAAAGTGGAAATCATTACATTATTACTAATTTCTGTAAATACCTGTTCTTTGTTGCAGGGTGTGTGAATGACAGAGAGAAGCATCTTCGCCACCTCCTAAAACCATTTCCAGGCCAGAAGAGGATGTAATACACTCTTTGTTTTTATGTCCCACCACTACAGTGCTTGGTACGTGTCTGGGAGAAGACATGCTCCAGTGAACACTCATAACTGGAAAACATTTATAATATTTAATACAAAATTAGGTCTCTATGATGATCTGATTTCAAGCACCTAGGTTGAAATGTGAATATGCAAAGTAATAAAAACTGTGTTTTCTTAAAACTACGGCAAACCATGTAATACTTTCAATTGCAGAGTTCGAAGACAAGTATAATTGTATAAAATGTTTGTTCATGTGTTTCAAAGAACGGCAAATGGATCAAAGTCCTTATGAGTGCAAAACATTTATTTCTATGCCTTACAAATACTTGCATTCAACACTGAGAAAATACATATCACAATCTTTCTGCGTGCGTGACAACATGATGTACACATTTATAATAACATTGCCACTTCTGGACCCTTATCTATGGCTTAGATAATTTACATGAATATACAGTAAAGAGGTGCAATCTGAATACAAGTCACATTATTTACATTAATCTAGTGCTCCCATGAATCAAGTGCACATGGTAAATCACAACAGACAGATAAGACACTCTAATGTAAACACAGTGTTCTAAAGACTTCAAGTATGCAGTGGGATATGGAGGTTATATGTATAACATATACATGTTACAGCCTAACAGCTATGATGTGTTGAAATTCCATTGAATCACGGGAATGATCAATGGTACAGCACAGTAGACACTAAGTTACATTCAGCTCTTTTACTATATGTTTTCTTTTTGTGCATGACGATGTAAACATAATGACAATGATGAATACGAGTCAACCACAACACTTTTCATAAATATAACTATGGTATATAAAATTTGGAAAAATATGCTCTTACATTCGTAGCAAACATTAAACGTCATCTTCAATGATAGAAAGAGCTCAGCTCTATGCAAAATACAGTATATTATTTTAGACTACAATTCAAGCTGTTCATACATGGGAAGCCCTTGTAACCAAAATTTCAAAACCATATATCTGAAACAAGCTGCATTACTGCAGTACACCATCACTTATTACACCTACTTCTTTTCACCTAAAGATGCTTTAACTGAACAATATGCCTGAAAACATGAGGCACCACATAAACGAATAAAAAGCAACATCAAGTAAAGTAAGAGCAATGAAAACAAATACATTCCAACATCAAAAACTCCACTAGTAAACGATATGGTTGTATTCAGTGACGAAAAACATAATGATCTGTGTTCAACTTCACTATAGATTACTTATGAAGAAAGCTATCCAGTGGTACAGTAGATGCTTATTTTATTCCTATTTCAACATTTGTAGCATACTGAGAGATGACTGTGCAGTGCAACAGAGCTCAATTTACATACAAGCTGTTTTTAGAATCGTTGTAGTGTTAATGGTCATAATGACCTGTCTGTCAAAACACTGTCCAACATTATGACTGTATACTTACTGTACATTTTAAATGAAACACAATATGTATATATATATGTCTGTTTTATTAAGTGTCACATTATACTTTGATATCATTGCTGTTTTTTCACTATTCTAGCTGCTCAAGCTCTTGTTAGTTTTGACCTTTTGAAGGCTGTACACCACTCACTGATTTAGACTGCTGTACAACAGTTAGAACATGTTAGTATTACACAGATTACACAGAAAGCAAGCATAGGTTCGAGCTCCTGTACCAGTAACCACTAAGTAAAGCACTATACTGTAGATCTATGGGGCTTATTTTGCAACAAAGTGCACATTTTTTGTTTTGCCATTCTGCTTACTATTTAGAGGTGCTTTGGAGAGAGACTGTGGCTCTTTAGCAGCTCTTTTCATGGCGGTTTTAGAGACCTGACCTCCCGCCTCTGTCCTCTGCCAGTCCTTCTCTACTCTCTTGGAGGTGATGACCTCTCTCTTACCTGCAGCAAAAACTCTCTTCTCTGAACCAGCCACTTTACTGCCACCGGGCTCTTTTTTAACATCTGTCTCAGAGTTTGCTCTGACTCGGCTTTTCCTCACCTGACCTCTGCTGTTCGGGTTACTTCCATATTCCTGGGGTTGCTTACGAGAATTGCCTGCGGCCTGCATGTTTCTGAGATGACTCCTTCCTGCTGGGGGGCTAACTGGGGTGCGGGCTCCTCCTCCCCCTTGCCCTCCTGGGCTCCTACCTTCCGTGGAGGTTGCTCGGGTCTCACTGCTGCTCCTCTTCGCTGGAGCCCCAGATCTGTCTCTTCGCTCAAGCAGTGGGCTGAGCCGCGAGTGCCGCTGGTAGGCATAGGCAGAGCAGCTTCCGTTGCACAGCGGGTAGCGAATGTGACAGTGAGGGCAAACTGGGAAGCGGGAGTGCTGGTGCTGGGCTGAGGCAGGTGATGGGGGGTTGTTAACAGGTGCAAATGGGAAGGCTCGCTGGCTGTGCCGCAGCCCTTTAGGAGAGTTCAGTCGGGACGGTGGAGCTGTGTGAGGCCTGGGTGGGTGAGCGGTGGTGGCAGAGGGGAATCCCTGTGGCCTTGAGCGGCTCCCAGGTGGACGGCTGCTCTCTGCTTGCGCCGTTTGGATCTGGAGCCACTCCAGCTGCAGCAGCCTCTCCAGGTACTTCTCCAAGAGCCCTACAGGCTTGGGCCGGGGGGCGCCACGTCCCTCTGTATGAATAAACACTGCCAGCTGTCTCAGGCTCCAGCTGTTGAACGGAGGAGGCAGAAAGTCTGGGTAACTATAGCTAGGTTTTTCACTCTCATCTTCATCACCCACATTCCCACATGGTCCTGGAAAGTCTGGGGGAAAGTCATTACTGTTAATGACCTCTGCGCGGAGGTTGAGGTGAGGAGGGGTGCAGGGGGTACAAGGAGAAGGCAGCACGGGCAGCCTCTCGGAGTCTGACAGATCACTGGCGCTGTCATCGTCAATATCCTTCTGGCTGTAGTGATGCTGTAGTGCCTCTGGGGTGGGGGCTGGGGAGTGTGTTAGGGGGTGCGCAGGCATGTGTCGTAGGCCTGATATTGGGGAGAGAGGCAGGGAGAGGGCTCGCCGATTCTTCCCCATCCCTCCACGATTCTGGTGTAGCTCATCGCTGCACTGCGACATCCGCTGATTTTCGCGTTTCTCCTCTTTCCGGTGCACAGATGAGTGTTTGCAGAGTTGACGTCTCAAATCTCCTTCTTCTTCAGGGCTGTAAAGAGACACACGAAAGTAAGGAAAAGCTGTTGGGGATTTAGGGATTTACTGTACCTTCAGTAGAAATGCAAACCCCTCTCCATGCATACCTGGACAGTTTGCTTGTATTCCGTGTAGCGCCAGATTTGACCTTGCCACCTTTTGACTGTGCACCCTGTGAAACAATCATTATGGAAACAGTTTGATTATTTCTGATTGATTGGTTTAAAGGTACACAGGCCACAACACATGCTGCACCTCTAAAATGTATCACGTCGAAGAACAATAATGTTAAAACCTAATCTCTCTTAAATTTACCAGGATGCCATTCACTCACCCTTTGCCCTGCTGCCAGTGTGTCCTTATCCTGACCTGGTCCTGGGAGGCCATTTTTCATTTGGCCCACTGCTTTCTTCATCTTGTTACCTCTCTTTGAACTATGGAAACATAATAGTGGTTTGTCAGGCTTGCCTCTAACCTATGTCTGAAACAAGACAAGACAAGTTTAATTTAGTCTTAGATATGCCACTGTAAAATTAGGCCTACCTGGTTACTGGTCCGCTATTTTCAGTATTTTTTACCCGAATCTTCTCTTTGGAGACGACGCGTTTCAGTGTCGTGGTTGCTGTGCGTTCCTGCATGATGGGCCCCATGTTGCAGGTCGCCAGAGGGGATCTTGTTTTGAGCGATACGGTAGCTAAAGAACCCAGCCGACATCTCGGAACAGATACTCTATTCTGAGAATGAGGCTACAAACACCCATTTTCGCAAAAGTGCTGCAATGCATCATGCGCAGATATCGACGGTCGTTTCTCCGCAGCAGGTTAAACTCGTCCTTCTGTTCGTCGTCGACTCGCCTCTCGGTTGAATAACAATTCAGCGACTGTTTTACTGGAGTGGTGACAGCAAACGCCTCTCTTTTTCGACTGTCATCGTCCTCGCCATTTAAAAATTCCAGACGGTCAAGCAGCGCATACGCTTTGTTTGGCTCTCCGTGTGAGATAGGTTTGTTTACCTGCTGCTCACTGGCTCGCCGCTTGTGTCGTGGGCAGCGTCACAGCTGCATTATGGGACTTGAAGTTAAGGCATACAAGTTGCTCTTTCAAACGAAACACGCAAACGCTCTTTGACGAGTGTACTTACTAATGATAAACAGTGAGAATACAAGGAGGGAGACAGCCGACGCTGTGCTTGAGGAAAGACTTTAGAAAGAATACAAACAAATATAACGCTTAATCTTAAATTACTCAATCTCCCGTGCAACGTCATGCAGGGACACTGGTTCGTTTGCAGCTTCCTGTAAACTGCGCGCACGTTAGCTGATCTCAATAGAGAGCAAGCCACGGACATGACGATTATGAATGTGGTGACAAATTACAAATCGTGTAATGTGGTCGCGGACACTCCATGACGCACGGAAACGCGCTGCTTTAATAAATTCTACATTAAATGGAGGAGCGAGCTTAGGCTACGGCCACCCTGCAGCGTGGATGTAACTAACGCTTCGTATCATATGGTGAGGTGATGTCAACGTCTAATGTTGAACCATATCAAATTCATTTTAGTAGTCCTACAACAGGGAGAGTATTGCAGGCTGTATGCATTCAGGCACGTACTCTCCAGAGTACACGCCCACTCTTTCCTGCTATGGCTGTTCTGTCAATTTTAGAATAACGAAGTTGTTGTTCTTGTTAGATTTGCACAGCTCAAAATCATGCATTTTAGGTAAAAAAGAGTACACTTCTGTTACAAGTGGGTCATTGTGCTTTTGATTAGAATATTGGGAATAATTGTGACTTAATTCCAACAAATTTTGTTTTACATTTTACATTACAGGTATGCAAGACAGCAGTTCCCATGGCCAGACGGTGGTTTATTGGACGTGAGGGGATTCCCTCTACAAAATCTGAAGAGCAGATGCCCAGCTCTTACAGCAGTGTCTCAAGGCCCTGCATGACAATCAACCTGACTGAAATGCTTCGTGCTGACAAACCTAATGCAGGAAAAAAGCCAATTCCAATCCGCCCCCCAAGTCCTAGAGTCTCCCTGCCAAGGGGACAAGAGTTCCGACGCAGTCACTCTTGTGAACCTATGCCAAAACCCATTATCCGACAACGGTCACACTCTCTGCCTTCCTCCACAGAGAAGAAGAAGAAATGCAGAAATGTTGGTGTTCGGTTTGTAGACTCTCTGGGGCTCGACCTGGAAGACATCAGACTTTTCAAATCTGGAGAGGATCCATCTGTACCACATCATGTCACCTTTAGATTGTTGATGGGTGCAGAGTTGGCCGATGGAAGGCATCTGGAGATATCTTTGCCATACTTGAAACCGGTTTTTGCCCAACAACCTGGTGACCAGCCAGGATTCCTTCATCGTCTCCATATGCAGAAAGTGTGTCTGGAAAGAGTCTTGTGTTTTGAACTGGGTGTCATTGGAATCACCCAGGTACTCAATTTGGACTTTGAGAAAGATGTCACCGCTCGATATTCATTCACAGAGTGGAAGAGCTGCACAGAAACTAAGGCCTCTTGGGTGTCCACCGTCACCAAGACCTGTGAAGGAGGAAGAGGCCAACTCAGTTATGATACATTTCGTTTCCACTTGCCTGTTCCTCCATTCCTGCAGCCAGGAGCAGTATTACAGTTTGCCATTCAGTACAAAGTCTGTGGGGCTGAATACTGGGACAACAATGATGGAGAGAATTATAAGTTAGTTTGCCATAATTACAAGCTCACGGTGCCCAAAGAATGCGAGGATAGCATGGTGCACTTCATTTAGGATGCTGACTAAAGGTAGAAGAAATCTATTTAGAGCACTTTATGACTGCTGTCAGCAAGACCTATTAAAAATGTATAACTACATTGTTACATTTGTTAATTTTGTGTAGACTAGTGCTGGCAACTAACTAATCAAGAGTAAAATTAACAAACACTAGTGCACTTATACATAAAGCCAACTTTAGTGCCACTGTTTTACTTTTGTGTTTTCTTTTTAAAAATTGCACTGTATTATTTGATTTCACGTCATTGTACTTTAATGTGAAAATATCCAATGAAAGTGACACCTCCTGAGCATTACAAAAAACACACTAATTAATGCACTTCAGTCCACTGTTTTCTTCCAGCTGGGTATTTGACATAGAAAATAGTTTTATACAATGCAGGCTCAGGGTCTTCTGAACCATTTTGGATTTTCAGATATTCAGAATTTATTTTTGAGTCAAATGTCAAATTTACAAACCATGCAATAGATGAAATTGTAATGTATTTTAATTAATCAGAAAACAATGCTTACTTTTTTTTTTTTAACAATAAAGCACAAACACTATGTTGTTCCCGCCTGTACTATTATTTGTAGTAACGTTAGTATATTCTTATTTAAAGCTTATGTCCCACCTCCTCTCCTAGCTATCTTCTACTATGTTCTCTGACTCAATGGGCTTTCTCCTTGCTTTTTATTAGCCCAAAACAAAATCTGAATAACGGTTCAAAGCATATTCTTAGTGATAAAATATTCTAAAACATAGGTTTTTTTGTCTCTGTTTTCAGCTAAAGGGGAATAACCTACTGTAATCACATGTAGACCAGCACCCAGTTGCTGTCAAAGCTCATGGGTAATGTAGTCGTTGAATACCAAAAAAATTATGTTTGTGATTTGCTCTAATTTGCTATCCAGTCTGAATAGTACAAAATACGCACAGAAAACCCGAAAGGAATCGTTCACTTTTACCCAAAATAATGACGAATATATCCTTTGAGAAAGTGACTTTGAAAATTAGCAAGTTGTCACAGTCTATGGTTGTTACGCGCCTGCGTGAGGAACGAAAGTACTTCGCGCGTTTTTCACTGTTTCAATTGAAAACCTGTCAAATAGGCATCATGCCATATTTGTGTAAGATATTAGACATCACTGTAAGTAACGTTATACGAATAATACAATCTGATAACGTATCCTCAAAAATATTAGTTACTCAGTGCCTGCTGAACGTTAACTTAAGATTTAGCGTTAGCTGGGAGAGGTAACGCTAACGTTAATGTTAGCTAACATTAACAGCAGACATCATTAAGCTAATGGAAATGTAACGTTACTTTTACATTAACATTACTGGGAAGCGGGAGTGCTGGTGCTCCCGAAGTAACGTTAACTGTTAACATACTTAAAGCAGTTACTTAAACTCCGGAGCAGTGAGGCAATACAGGGGACAAGGTTAAAGTTAGATGTTGAACGTAAGTTAGCTAGAAATAGTTTAGCTTATGTCAAACATATGTACATGAAGTGTCGAAAGTAAGTTAACATTAGGTTAATGGTATTGCCAAACAAGTGAAACAAGGTCAACTTAGCTTGTCAACGGTCAACGTTGGTTATCACTAACATTTCGAAAAATCTGACCAACTAGGTTAACAAGTAACGTTACATCGACCATCACTTAGTTATAGAAGTTTATTCCTGTTGAAGAAGCGCTAAGATTGGCAGGTTGATGTGTGCAATTGGCCTTTACAGCCATTTTAAAGACAGCAGAGGGCAAGTGACAGTAAAGCTGATCCCCGGAAGGAAGAATGGCACCGGGACAGAACTCACAGGTAAGGTTAGGAAAGCTTACTAAGATTACTGACACTGAAGTAAGGTTAACGTTACTTAAATACTTGTTGAAGCACTATAATGTTGACAAGTTGGTAAACCTTTTCATGTGCAGTTGGAGAAAGTCATTGATGAGGCGTTAAAGAGTGGAGATGTCCAAGCTCTAGATGTATTCTTGCAAAGGGACATCTATGAGGGGACCCCCATAAAATGTTCCCAACAGTTTCTTTCAAAATTGGATAAACTTGTCAGCAGGGTAAGATGTAGCCCAAACCACACTCACTAACATGCAATAATGCTCAGTTCGTAGGTTCGTAAGAAACTATATCTATGTTGTTTATCTAGAGTTTGGATCAAAATAATACCAAATCAGCGAGTTTGGGTCTTACAATCCTCTACAAGTGTGGGAAAAACCTGGAACTACCTGGTTGTTGTCAAGGGTTGTCAGGAATAATAGCTCAAGGCCTGCTGAAAAAGATAAGTATACTTGTAATAGTTAAAAGCGCACAGTGTGTGAATGCTGTATAGGTAAATGTACTAGGTCAGTTGATGATTGAAAACCTGGTTTTGTGCACATGGTGCATTGGTTTGAGAAATGCAGGCAACTGTGGATCCAGTGTGGCCCACAGTGGGATGAGATCTTGTTCAACCTCTCTGAGGACTTCTTTGATGCCTTAATGGTGAGCTAATGTCTTAAGAGTAAAACACATTTATATTGAAACAGTATACCACTCCTGTTAGTTTCCATAATTTAAAACCATTCATTTGCAACAACCCTCCTACCTGTTACAGGTGGTCCATGATGCAGGCAAGGAAGGTATGTTTGTACATTTCTTTATCTGTATTCCATCCTCACTATGTGTGTAATCGTCAGTTAGCCCTTTTTAGGAGCAATTGCAAATTAAAACTGACGTGTGTATTCCACCTTGAATTGCAAAATGTTAATAATTGTTTTTGAGGCTAACAAAGTATAATATTAAAGCCACACTAAGACTTTAAAATGTTTGTTTGTTCCACAGATAGGAGAGTGTTACATTCTCCTCATGCTAGTGTCACATTTTGATCCCACTGCCCCGCTTGTGTAAGGGCACTATCAAATCATGTGCTCTTATCATTGTTTCGGCGGAATTCTGTTTATATAGACTGAAAGTTTGCAGTAACAGATTCAGGTGGAAGATAATGAGCATTTCTCCCACAGGACGAGCTTCAAAGAACCGCACTTTAATACTTTCATGATGAATCTCAGGATATAAGAAATGGGCTAGTCTCTATAAACATAACATAAAGTCACAGCATGTTTTTTTGCAGGAGCATACAAAATCACAGAGTCCTTCCTGTATCCTGTTGGTCATTTGGTAGTAGACCCCAGAATCTATATCCTGATCCAAAAAGAGGTTTGAAATAGTTTTAATATCTTCTTGATGGAGTAGCATTAAAAGCCACAAGTCAGGTGTTTGCACATAAATGAACTTGTTAATTATGTTCTAACAGGCAATTCGTAAATTTAACTTAATGCTGGACAAAATCCCAATGGAGCTGAAGAAAAAGAGGAAACTCTTAACATCACAGGATGCCTCAGATATTATGTATGTCATGGCAGTTTTGATAATAAAGATCATTATTACAGTTTTTTACAGTGTCCACATGCTTTTGAACTTTTGCTGGTTTATCATATTTTTACAGGACCAAGCTGGCTGGTCAAATATTGGAGGCAGGTGGTAAGGTGTTTTTTTTTTTTTCTGTGTGAATATTGCCATCTTCACCTAGAACCATACACAGACACAAAAAAAATCAACAGCACAGTCTGTTTGTGTCAGATTACGACTTGCAGATAGCCCTGATGGAGGCATTGTGCAGAATGGCCACTCCTGACCAGAGGAAGGAGCTGGCGGATCGATGGTTCAGCATGGAACATGTGGCCAGCGCCTTTGTCATGATTTGTGATTCCGAGTTTGAGACGGTAAGAACTTGTAATTTATCCGACTGCATTGCCTTTGCCTCATTTGTATTTGTGTTTTTCTTGCACCGCAGGGGTCATATATTGTAATAATATTAAAACAGGCTCTCTGCTACATAGACTTTGATGTAAATATGTGTGATTTCAGGATTGTCGCAAGTTTCTGAACTTGGTGAATGGGATGCAGGGAGACAAGAGAAGGTACACAGATATCATAACTCTTGACTTGACGTGGTTACAGTGGGGCCAAAAAGTATTTAGTCAGCCACTGATTGTGCAAGTTCTCCTACTCAGAAAGATGAGAGAGGTCTGTAATTTTCATCATAGGTACACTTCAACTATGAGAGACAAAATGAGAAAAACAAATCCAGGAAATCACATTGTAGGATTTTGTAAGAATTTATTTGTAAATTACGTAATATTAAGAAGCTCTTCTGTCCTCCACTCGTTACCTGTATTAATGGCACCTCTTTGAACTCGTTATCTGTATAAAAGACACCTGTCCACAGCCTCAAACCGTCAGACTCCAAACTCAACCATGGCCAAGACCAAAGAGCTGTCGAAGGACACCAGGAAGAAAATTGTAGACCTGCGCCAGGCTGGGAAGAGTGAATCTACAATAGGCAAGCAGGTTGGTGTGAATAAATCAACTGTGGGAGCAATTGTAAGAAAATGGAAGATGTACAAGACCATTGATAATCTCCATCGATCTGGGGCTCCACGCAAGATCTCATCCCGTGGGGTCAAAATGATCATGAGAACAGTGAGCAAAAATCCCAGAACTACACGGAGGGACCTGATGAATGACCTGCAGAGAGCTGGGACCAAAGTAACAAAGGCTACCATCAGTAACACACTACGCCGAGAGGGACTCAAATCCTGCAGTGCCAGGTGCATCCCCCTGCTTAAGCCAGTACATGTCCAGGCCTGCCTGAAGTTTGCCGGAGAGCATATGGATGATCCAGAAGAGGATTGGGAGAATATCATGTGGTCAGATGAAACCAAAATAGAACTTTTTGGTAAAAACTCAACTCGTCGTGTTTGGAGGAAGAAGAATGCAGAGTTGCATCCCAAGAACACCATACCTACTGTGAAGCATGGGGGAGAAAACATCATTCTTTGGGACTTCTGCAAAGGGGACGGGAAAACTGATCCGTGTTAAGGGAAGAATGAACGGGGCCATGTATCATGAGATGTTAAGCCAAAACCTCCTTCCATCTGTGACGGCCTTGAAGATGGAACGTGGCTTCCAGCATGACAATGATCCCAAACGCACCACTCGGGCAAAGAAGGACTGGCTCCGTAAAAAGCATTTCAAGGTCCTGGAGTGGCCTAGCCAGTCTCCAGACCTCAACCCCATTAAAAATTGGTGGAGGGAGTTGAAAGTCCGTGTTGCCCAGCGACAGCCCCAAAACATCACTGCTCTAGAGGAGATCTACATGGAGGAATGGGCCAAAATACCAGCTACAGTGTGTGCAAACCTGGTGAAGACTTACAGGAAACGTTTGACCTCTGTCATTGCCAACAAAGGTTATGTTACAAAGTATTGAGTTGAACTTTTTTTTTATTGACCAAATACTTATTTTCCACCATAATTTACAAATAAATTCTTCAAAAAAATCCTACAATGTGATTTCCTGGAATCTTTTTTTTTTATTTTATTTTTTTTTTGTCTCATAGTTGAAGTGTACCTATGATGAAAATTACAGACCTCTCATCTTTCTAAGTGGGAGAACTTGCACAATCAGTGGCTGACTAAATACTTTTTGGCCCAACTGTGCATCACATCCTGGACTGGTATATTGAGAAAAATAAATAGGATTGACTGTTGTAGTCATAGTTCTGCCTCTACAGCAATATCATGCACCCATAGAACACATGCAGTGCAGATGGTACATGTGCATAACTAATATCCTGTCCTCTCTGTAATATAGAGTGTATTCCTACCCTTGTTTGGAGGTCTATCTGGACAAGTATGAGGTCAGTATCAACATAATTGCCATGGTTCAAAAAAGGCGAGGAAAACAAAAAGTAAAGTAACAAGTACAGATTTTGTCTGTCAGATCAAGAAGCCTTTTCCTTTCTTGGTACTATTAACTGTTCATTTAAGAGTTAGGAGTGCTTGCATGTTGGGTGTGGAATGCCACAATCCATGACGTGTGTGTAATAGCAGATCTGCTGAAAGGATTGTGGTTATGTTGTCAGCTGCTGATGCCCGCTGATGAGAAGCTGGAAGAATACTGGATAGACTTCAACCTTGGCAGCCACAGCCTCTCCTTTTACTTCTCTTTGACTGATGAAGAAGCGCGGGTACCTCAAGATCATTAGTGAAAGTGAAAATCAAAAAGGGCAACAGTTACATAATCAACAATAGACATATATCTGTTAGAGCCTAATGCAGAGTGTTTTCCCCTTTATGTAGGAGGGCCAGTGGGAAACGATATGCATCAACGAGAATGAAGTCCAAAGCTACACTGTTACAGGTAATCAAAGCACAAAGACCGCTGCGTTTACATTTACTCACTTAGCCCTGAATATTTCACCCAAACACAATTAAATGAATCGTATTATGGTATTCCATGCATCCGTCCATACGTGAATAGATAGAAAAATAGCACCACAGGCGTTTTGATGCAGTAGGGAACTTGACTGCTTTAGTCCAAAAACAATCATAGCAGATTGATCTAGAGTGCTAAATTTTATGAAGATAATATCCCCTTTTGATGTGACAGGCCATGTCTGTTGAGTGTTTGCTTACGTCTGTGTGTGTATGTGGGAGTGTGTTACTATAATACACCGTGTTCTTTATCTCCAGAGGAAGGCCGGAGGCAAGTCTTGCAGTTAAAGCTGTCAGAGGTGGTGGTCGTGGGTGCGGTGGAAGGATCGAGTCTTACCATCCACTTCAGCTCCTCCCTGGACGTCATGCAGGCTGCTCGTAGCATCTATGGCCACAGCAAAAACAAAGTAGGCCATGGCTTATTCATTTCAATCCTTACTGGCAACAATATTAATAAGAAAAGTTATTTGGCGATTTGCATTAACAAGCGTCTCTTCCTGCCAGGGCTTTGTGGGAAAGACAGGCACATCTGTAGTGAAGACTACAGTAAAAATTATAATGGAAGAGAACAGCTGCCAGGTAAACAATGGTCTGCTTAATATACAGCTATGATGTGATCCGTGTGGTCATTACAAATGTAGAAAAAATGTAGTAAATTGGAGAGAGTTTGGGAGGATGCATGTTTATGGAGCGTCTGGTTCCTTTTTGAGATTGCTATGGTTTACATTAATGTGAGATTATATCAGAAGAACTTTTTGAAAAAGCTTTCTAAATGTGTTTATTTGTTGGTTCTGCATGCCACTCTCAATGCAGGTTGTTCCGGAGAGTCAGGTGTCCCTTGGAGACAGTGAGAAAAATACTGCCCCCTACTGTTTATCTGTCTCATCTACACCAGTACAGGTGAAAGACTGTTTTTAAATTTATGTTGAATCAAATATGTAGCAGTTTGTAAAACCTATGGATTGTGTACATTAACACAATCCATAGATTTGTCAATAGAAACTGTCTTTTCAGTGATAATAATTCTAATTCAGTCAGTTATTTTAAGTACATTAGATTTTGAAATAACTGGTTTTGTCCAGTTATTACACTACTTTGTATAGAATGATTTAATGTAACAATACAATATAACACAATTGTGTTTAATGCCTACGTAAGACTCACCAGTGGATTGTTTGCAAGAAAGAGGATCAAGGATGGTTACGAGGACTTTAAATTAAATCATCAAACTACTGTAATAGCTGCATAAGAAAATCCTACTATATCACTCAAAACGTTCAAGTGCTGGTTGCAGTTTATGTCACCTGACACTGAAAGGTCAAAGCCAGTAAGGGGCGTAGAGAGCAGGGAACCAACCATGGCGTGTTCAAGTATTTTTCCCATTGCCAGCGAAAAAACTGAGTGCTTCTCAAGTCTCTTATTTGTCTTTTCCTTGATCCTCTCATGAACCGGAAGTTGTTCCGCTCCGCCATCTTGCAGGCCGTCCCAAAGCTCTTATTTGCGCTCCGAGGAGCGATCTCTGAGGAGCTATGAGCGAGGATACACCACTGCATCCTTCGCGGGAGTCTTTTACTAACTGACACGCCCCCTTATTGGGTAGCCGTTATATTGATTGGACGCTGCAGCTGATCGGACTAATCTGATCAACTTTACAACTTTATATATTAAAGTCAGAGAGAGTCGGAAAGTCTGTCTGCATGAAACACGTTTTACATAATTTATCATTTCTATTCATATGTTTAGTCCAAATAGACAACAATAAAACATAGTAAACACATAAGGAGTCGGACAAGTCACTAAACTGCACCAAAGTATCTAATGAAGCGAGCAAAGCATCTGATGAAAGCAGCCAGCGGCTCTGGAAGTAAAATCAACTGATGAAAGTGAGAATGAAAGCGCTGCTACGCTAAAAAAAAAGCGTCAGATTGATGGAACACAGTGATTGATCGATGACGAGGGATGTGACATGCACATAAAATGTATGTAGCAGTGTTAAAGGATATCAGTAGAGGATATAAACGAAAAGCCACAAACTGAGCGTCACCTTTGATACAAGTTACATCATTTCAATTTCAATTTAGGCTAATAAATCCCTAGACACCATAATCATATTCTTGGTTATTCAATAACGAATTTACATTCAGATGAACAAATGTAAATTGTAGAAATGATCCTGTGCCTTTAGGCAGGACGTATGAGTAACCATTTCATTTTTCATGTGCAGGTGTTTGTTAAACAGGTAACAGAGAATCATGCTGCTCTGCACTGATAACTGTGAGACTTTATTAGTAACAGTGCACATGAAAGTAGACACAAACTTCATCAAAAGTCTCTACAACTGTTAAAGCCGACTGACAGCTCACCGTGTGATCAGCTGCTGCCGTCATCAGAAACGGACGTCGCTTTATGTGAAGCTTCAGAGGAAAGGACATCTCATGTCTCTAAAAACATAATTCCTCGTTTCTTCTCTCCTGGCTTGCGTCTCTCCATGCATCCCCGGTAGGCGGGACTAAGACGCAAGGAAAAGACGCAAGTGAGGGAAACGTGGATGCAATTAAGAGACTTGACAAGCACCCACTGAATACCTGTATACATGCAGAAGCTATTCTAGCTACATCTATTTTCCGTCTATATGTGCTCCCATGCTATTAACTTCATTTGGAAATCATTTATGGGATTGTTTCAGTATTAGATTTACATTTTTAATCATTTAAGGAGACCACATAAAAGATTCAGTCAGTCATTCTGATTTTCCATCCAGATGGTGACCCCAGCCAAGATGAGGATTTCAGAGTCTACCACCTTCAACAGCAGTGTGCGTGGTGACAGTTCCCTCTCTGCTGTGATGCTATCCAGTAGGTGACACTTGAAATTGTCAAGAAATGCTCTCGCATCAGTTACAGTGTAATTGACAAATAGATTATTACTGTCTCTAATTCACATGTATCAATATTGTCATGTAATAATTGATATCCACAATATTGTGGCCCAAACAAATCCAGGAAGTTTGTCCCGCCTGATGGGAAGCTCCTTATACATTTATTACTTACCTTCTTATTGTCCGTGAAGATAAATTAAAGCAAGACATGTAGATTCAATTCTCAACTATGAAATTGTTATTTTCTCCCTTTAAGACACTCCTGCCAGGGTTAAAGGGAAGCCATCTCTGGAGATGGTTCGTTCATGTGATAAGCAAGGGGAATTTTACCTGGGAGAGCTAAGGACGACCACTAAGACCTGCAGTCTTGGCACAACACCTAACAGCGCAACAGCAGGTGGCATGTTAGAGCAGGTATGACACGTACTGAATAGACTGCATTTACCATACTACACACATACTGCTCAACATGTGACATCACAGCGTGCAAAATATAATCTTGTTATTGATTTCGGAATGTTACCTTCATTTCCTGGTATCTGTGATGCATCTCTACAGAGCACGGCTTCCAAACAGACCAGTAAGGATAAGGTTGGCAAACACAAAAAGGTATAATCAGTGTTAATATAAATATAAATAAAGTTAAGCTAGTAATTGTTGTCTACTTTTGCACAATCATTATATACTTTCATTATATGAGGATATGATACGACTGAACTACGAGCATATTACTTTTGAATCTTTTTAATGACTACATGTAGGTCCCTAACCCATTCTCCAAACAGTATTTCTCTTTCAGCTGCAAATCTGGTAAAAAAATTGGCATGACACTCCTGTATGTATTTTCCATTTTCATTCAGTGGAAGGAAACCAAAAAACAAAATAAAAGATTTGGTTGCATTTGTTGTCTCTGCTTGTCCTACAGAACATACCAGTGGAAAAAGCAGCCGATATAGTTCTTGCTGGACAGGGAGAAGAACAGGCTCTGGGTATTATGTTGCTATAGTGACTTTGGCTAGGCCCAGAAATAGAGCTACACAGTTATTCGTCAGACTCTTGGACCCACCGCTGATTTCTTTTACTTACAGAGCAAACTTTTGTGCCTGACACCCAACCCAGAACCGGAAGAAACATGTAAGTGCTGTGAAAGACCTCCACACAAATTGGCAAATCTACTGCCATCAGAGAAGGCAGTCTGATTGGTGATGTTGTGTGTATTTGTGTTTATACTGTTTTTGTTTATCTTAACATGTTTATTTGTTAAAATTGCAGATCTTCTAACTGGAGCAAACTGTCAGTTTCTGAAATGCTAACGATGCCCACACAGAAAATCAATTCTCTGCCAAGACCTGGTAAGCTAAGAAGTCATCCCATATCTTTAATATCTATAAGATGTCACTTCATGTTTTGAATATTAAGGCTAGTAACACACAAAACCTAGTTAGATTAAATAAAATAGAAAATTATAGATAGAAAAACAGTGTCATTTTACTTTTATTTTGTTTTTAAATTAAATCATTGTTTCTCTTTAGAGCCTCATCCATGTTCTGCACAACAGCAGGAGCACCTGTCCTCGACACAGCGATTGTCAGTTCCAGTCCTCGGCCCAATCAGCGAAAAGCAACTCAATACCAAACTCACACAGCGCCTGCGGCAGGTCCTCCGTGAGAGGAACCAAGATCCTGCACCTCAGGAGCCTGCTGCACCCCAGAGAAAAATGTTGGGCATCACAGAGGACTCTAAAGGCAGAAACTCTGTGGACTGGTGTGCTTCCACAGTGTGCACTCCGAAAGAGCAGCCGGCCCAGAGTAATGGCCCGGCTGAAAGCAAAGGCCTGATGTCAATGGAGGCAGATGCTGCTCTAATCAAAGGTCCAGCCAAGGTCTCCACAACCAAATCTCTGCAGCAGCAAAAACCACCTAACATTAAGGGTGAAACAAACCTGTCAAGCAAAATTAAGGTGTGCATTGTTAGCTTAATGTCAATTTTGAGGTTATTAATGTTGGGTGTTGTGATTATCAAACCTTCTACTGTCTCTACTCAGAGAGATGCAGAGGTTGCGGGCAGCATGGTGAAGCTCATCTCTAGTCGCTATGAGATTAACTCCCAGTCCACAGCAAAATATACTGCAGGAAAAATCCCTCCGAGCTGGAGTCCTCCTATTGTCAACAGGTTTACACACATTATTGATTGAATGGCTACCTTATGGTGCTGTAGTAAATGTCATTTCAAGCATAACTGTGTATTTTTGTACTAGGCCGACCTTCAATATGAGCTGGTTATCAACTGCTAAAGTAAGTGATCATACATAAGTGATTTATTGTGAGGAGTAACTTAAAGTTACTTTTCTCCTGCTTGATTAACTAAAGATGATCTTTACCTGCTACAGAGAGATGTATCTGGAGCAGTAAGCCTAATGAAATCCTACAGCAAAACCACAACAAGTTCTATGAGGCAGAGGTAATATCATTCAGTTAAAATATTTGATGTACATTTGGACATTTCAGTGGTTGTGAGTGCATTTTAGGATATATTTAATGCCTTTTTTTCTATTTGTACAGAAAAGATATATTTGCATTTAACATTGATGTACCATTGAGCATTGAGGTAAATACTACCAATATTTTTTGTTTTATATCTTTCGGTGTATTATCTGAGTACTTGATATGCCACCATAATGTTTAAAGTCTGTTTTATTGCTCTTTAGGGAAAGGACAAAACCTTCACTAACACTTCTGCCACATCGAGCAGGTAGGACATTTTAAGATGGCCTGTGGACTTAATAGAGAATTAAAATTGCAATGTATACTCATGCATAAGATTTTATATTAAACTGTCTAATTTCATATTTCCTATGTTTGACAGTGGCATCCATGACTCAGTACCCCTCAACAAGACCAAGGAAGGACAACCTGTGGCAAAAGTATACTTTATAATTTTATTATAGGTGTTTTATTATAGGAATTAAAGTCAAAGCTGGTAGAGACTGTCTGTCTCTGGCTGTGGACCTGTATGTGCTTGCTGCATCTGTGTTCATGTGGTTCCACTCTTCCACTCCAGCGCACAAATCCTTAACTTTTTGAAAGTTATGGTTTACACTTGTTATTAGGGCAAAAAATATGCAACAATCACACTGAAAATAATTTTTCTGTCTATGTATCCTCCCTGTTTTCCACTACCTTGTGTGTTGCAGGAGAAGCGGCATGTGAAGAAGCATCTGTTCAGTGACACAGACACAGACCATGCCATGACAGACGTCAGCTGGTTGAGGGAGTCAAGCAGGAAACCCAAACCCAAAGTTACCAAATACTCCAGGCAGGCGCCTATCAAACCGAAAGCTGTGTCACCTCATACTTCATGTAAGCCATTAAAGCCACACATTCCTGCAAATTTGTCACCTTAATTCTGGATGCTGATACAATTAATTAAATTGAGACATTAGTTTTTCCATAAACAGAATGGGCTTTCTGTCATTGCAGATGAATCCCCGGATTTACCCCCACCCTCTCAAAAACCTGTAAACTGCAATACCAAACGCAGTAAGGTTAGGCACTAGTGTTGTGTTTTAGAAATAATGTGCTTTAAGCCTGTGATGCACTATCCTGTTCAACCACAGTGTGTCATTGTTTAATCAGAAGAAGCCTGGTGTGAAGGAGAGAGTGGAGCAGCCAAAGAAGACTGTGAAGCCAGTGGCAGCAGGCAGGAGGCCCCAGAGAGCAGCAGCTGCCTCAACCAAGAGCTACAGGGAGCCAGACACCGATGACAGCCAGTCAGAATCAGAGACGCCTCTTGTTCCCAAGGCAAAGACGTCCCTGTGTCTTATGTCACCTTTTAAAAATACAAACATTTTTTATCCTCTTTTGAAACACAAATAACATAGTTACTGTTCTTAATTTGTATGAACACGCCTATGAGACTAGGTGTGTTCTGATGTGGACATCCTAACTCCAAATCACACAAAGAATAATGAGACCATATCAAGATGTTACATACATTGTTGCGCTGCTGCAGTGCAGTGAGTACTGTACAAACATGGCCCCAGACACTCTTATTAAATCTTGGAACACCTTGTTTTCACAGAAAGTACTATTCCTCCCCACACACATACATACATAAACTTGAGAAACAATCATTTTTGAATTACATTTTCTCCTGAATAAGTGAATGGTAGTTGTTACTTGTTCAAAAGACAAATGCCTGGAAATACTTGGTGTTGAGCACAGATTTTAATCAAGCTTGACACATAAGAATGTAGTTGGGTGGGATTCTCTCCATGCCATCGGGAGCACACTTTCTACTGCTATGTAATATTAAAAAGAGCAATTAATTATAGTGCTGTTGTTGCAAATGGACTAAAATCATACTGTTCTTCTATTAATAATAGCACTCCTCCACTAATCATCTGGAGAATGCTGAGAAATCTCACGAGGCTGCTCGAGTTATAAATAAAAAGACTGCCAGCAAACAACCAACCAAAAGTGATGTGAAGCTAGAGAGCAGCAATCATAGCAGCCAGTCGGAGTCAGAGGAGCCACCCACGTCCAAGGTAGAGGTCAGTGAGTTTGTATTTCATGTTATCCTGATGAAGTAACCATTGATTGTGCTTGCCATAAAGCATCTGTACGTCTGAATATATCAGAAAACATATCCGCATCACCACATGCTCATACTGTGAGCTACAACTACAGAGCTCCCAGCGAATGCAGTTTTTCTTCGGTCAACATATCGTTTTTTAGAACATACAGTCCCCTCCAAAAGTATTGGAACGGTAAGGCAAATTCCTTTTGTTTTTGTTGTCCACTGAAGACATTTGGGTTTAACATCAAAAGATGAGTATAAGACGAGTTCAGAATTTCAGCTTTTATTTCCTGGTATTCACATCTAGATGTGTTAAACAACTTAGGACATACCACCGTTTGTCTTAAACCACAGCATTCTTAGGTGAGCAAAAGTAATGGAATAAATAATCTTTAAGTAAAGAACATTTAATATTTGGTGGCATAACCCTTGCTTGCAATAACTGCCTCAAGCCTGCAACATCACCAAACTGCTATTCCAGGCTTTTACCACAGCTTCTTTCAGTTTTTGTTGGTTTCGGGGTGTTTCTCCCTTAAGGAGGTGAAATGCATGCTCTACTGGGTTAAGGTCAGCTGATTGACTTGGCCAGTCTAAAACCTTGCACGCTTTACCCCCTGATGACGTCCTTTGTTTTGTTGGCAGTGTGCTTTGGGTCATTGTCCTGCTGGCCTCTATTTTTCTGCTCTCTGAGCCTTCTTCGAACAGTGGATTGTGATACCTTCACCCCTGCACTGTGGAGGTCGTTGGTTATGTTACTTACTGATGTTTTGGGATTTTTCTTCACATCTCTCACGATATTTCTGTCATCAACTACTGTTGTTTTCCTTGGCCGACCTGTTCGACGTCTGTTGCTCAGTACACCAGTAGTTTCTTTCTTTTTCAGGACATTCCAAATTTTTGTGCTTGCTATGCCCAATGTTTGTCCAATGGCTCCTTTCCTTCTTCTCTCAGCTTAACAATGGCTTGCTTTTCTCCCATAGACAGCTCTCTGGTCTTCATTTTTGTTTATCCTCTTTAACAGGAAATGCAGTCTTTATAGGTTTGAACCAAGGATGAAAATTTAGACTGGTCTTTCAGAGCTAATTAATGTTTGGACAATCAACCTGCGACCCTGTACGCAGGATAAGTGGTTGAAGATGGATGGACAATCTACCTAAAAGGCAACACCTGAGCAACAAGAAACATCTGTCAGTCACATGTTCCAATAGTTTTGCTCACCTGAAAAATGGGTGGGTTCAAACAAAGGGTGTTATGTCCTGAGTTGTTTAACACATCTAGATGTGAATACCAGGAAATGAAAGCTCAAATATCAACAACAACAAAGGAATTTGGAAGTCGGGTACAGTGCCCAAGGAGTGGCAGACTGGGGTGGTGGTTCCCCTGTTCAAAAAGGGGGACCAGAGAGTGTGTGCCAATTACAGGGGTATCACACTTCTGCCTCCCCGATAAAGTCTATTCCAGGGTGCTGGAACGGAGGGTTCGGCTGATTGTCAAACCTCAGATTGAAGAGGAACAATGCGGTTTTCGTCCCGGTCGTGGAACAACTGACCAGCTCTTTACTCTCACAAGGATCCTGGAGTGGGCTTGGGAGTATGCCCATCCAGTCTACATGTGTTTTGTAGATCTGGAGGTGTATGACCGGGTCCCCCGGGAGATACTGTGGGAGGTGCTGCGGGAGTATGGGGTGAGGGGGGCCCATCTCAGGGCTATCCAATCCCTGTACATCCAAAGCGAGAGCTGTGTCCGAGTACTCGGCAGTAAGTCGGACTCTTTCCAGGTGAGGGTTGGCCTTCGCCAGGGCTGCGCTTTGTCACCTATCCTGTTTGTGATATTCATGGGCAGGACATTGAGGTGTAGTCGTGGCGAGGAGGGGCTGCGGTTCGGGGGGCTTGGGATCTCGTCACTGCTTTTTGCGGATGATGTGGTCCTGATGGCATCATCGGTCCGTGACCTTCAGCTCTCACTGGATCGGTTCGCAGCCAAGTGCGAAGCGGTTGGGATGAGGATTAGCACCTCTAAATCTGTGGCCATGGTTCTCAGCAGGAAACCGGTGGAGTGCCAACTCCAGGTAGGGAATGAGTCCTTACCCCAAGTGAAGGAGTTCAAGTACCTCGGGGTCTTGTTCCCGAGTGACTGGAGACTGGAGCAGGAGATTGGCCGGAGAATCGGAGCAGCGGGGGCGGTAATGCACTCGCTTTACCGCACCGTTGTGGCGAAAAGAGAGCTGAGCCGTAAGGCAAAGCTCTCGATCTACCGGTCGATGTTCGCTCCTACCCTCACCTATGGTCATGAAGGCTGGGTCATGACCGAAAGAACGAGATCGTGGGTACAAGCGGCCGAAATGGGTTTCCTCAGGCGGGTGGCTGGTGTCTCCCTTAGAGATAGGGTGAGAAGCCCGGCCATCCGCGAGGAGCTCAGAGTAGAGCTGCTGCTCCTTTGCGTTGAAAGGAGCCAGTTGAGGTGGTTTGGGCATCTGGTAAGGATGCCTCCTGGACGCCTCCCTAGGGAGGTGTTCCAGGCACGTCCAGCTGGGAGGAGGCCTCGGGGAAGACCCAGGACTAGGTGGAGAGATTATATCTCCACACTGGCCTGGGAACGCCTCGGGATCCCCCAGTCAGAGCTGGTTAACGTGGCTCGGGAAAGAGAAGTTTGGGGTTCCCTGCTGGAGCTGCTCCCCCCGCGACCCGATCCCGGATAAGCGGATGAAGATGGATGGATGGATGGATGGACAAAGGAATTTGCCTTATCGTTCCAATAATTTTGGAGGGGACTGTATGTTTTTGAAACAAACTCACACTGGCAGAAAAACAACAAGGGGCGGAAATCAAATTGTCTTTTGGCAGACAATAACCAAAATAAAATTCAGCCATAGGTAACTTTTCTCTGCTATACACGTTATCTTACACCTGAAATTCCGAACCAAGGTCTGAACTAAGGTTTGTGTTTTTGTTAACTTTTGTTATATTAACATTTGATCCGGCTAGTTTTGGTTTCACATTGCAGTGTATGTTGTTTATGTGTACTTACCCAGGTTAAATTTTTTGCTTGTGTTTTCCAAGGAAAGGCGTAAAAACATATTCCATTATGCGGTTTCCTCCCCAAACGATTGTGTGACCTACTATGGCAGTTCTTGATTTTTAAAATCACAACAGAAAATCGAAACACAGCCACCAACTTCCCAACAGAAAGGCAGCAGTATCAAATGGGATCCTCAAACTTTGGCAGCATAAATAAAATGTTACCGATAATTCAACACGGCACAACCTCAACTTCACAGCCCCTATAGCCTGCCAGAATCCAAAAATGTTTTCACACTAGAAAGGAACCAAACCAACCACTTTAAACAATGGTTTAATTTGATCCAGAAGTACAATATACAAAACGTATGGTAGGTTGCTGATTATGTTGTTTGCAGTGTGGATGTACAATATATAATTTTTGAATGTGGTCACAGTGGAAATCATTTCAACATCATAGTGGTATTAATCGTCGACTGTTGCAACGATATTCCATTCACTTTTGGTTTGTCTGCCAACAGGAATGTTTTGTTGGCCAGCAGGGGAAAAATGAGAAGACCCGTTCAGGGGTTCCAGAGGTAAAGAAGAGAAAAAACACCTCCTCTGAGCAATCCACAGATGCATACAAGAGACTGGACAGAAACAACCAGTCAGATCTGAAAAAGCCATCTGGTCTCAAGGTGGGAGCCCAGCCCTCTATTTAGGTCACTCTAGCTTACCTTTCTAAAAGTATTAGCCTATGTGAATTGAGCACATCTGATAATTGGTTTATTGTGATGATTGACTTGTAATGACCAAGATGATTTGTGCTAGCTGGTCAAAATGTTATGGCAATTACAAATGGCTTGTTTGTTTACAAATAGTGTTCCCAAAAACATCCTTAAAGCCATTTCAGTAAAAAATGGATACATACTGTATCTACATCCAGCATACTCATTTAACTTTAAAAGGTGAAAAAATATCAAGATGTTACTTTTTAGCTATATTAAGCTCTTTATATTATTGTTTTTCAGCGGCAGAGGCCTGAGAAAGTTGTTCCAGAAACGTCGAGGTTAAATAAGAAAAATGACGTCCCTGCTCAAGAACACACGGCTACATTGAAGGATTCCTGGGCCGCCCGCCAGACCTCGTTTTGTCCATCCCCTCCTTCCATTGAGAGGATGAGATGTAAGACTGTGGAAACCCACTTAGCAACACCAAAGTTAGATAAGAGTCATTTGACTATTTTGACATCAGCTAATGTCTATTACATGTTTCATGGTGGTTCAAATGGCTTATTAATTCCAGCACAGTGGCCACATATATTACTCGATAGCCCTTCTGACACTTTGGTTCCTAAACTCTCCCATTATTGGGAACATTGCTTTTGTGTGAATTCTGCTTAAGTATAGTATAAAATTATATAGCAAGATAATGTTTGGTTTTCACTTTGTGTGTCGACCCTGCACATTTACCTAAGTATCTCAAGAGTGAATGAAGGCGCCAGCCTTTGGAGATTATTCAGGCTGATGTAGGGACTGACTTCATCTCAGTCCTCAGGGCTGCTTAAGTAGAGTCCAGTTTAAATAAAAATCACTTTTATTTCCAAGGCCAGAAAGAGGATTTGATTTTTTCCAACCTGGAATGGATACATGTAAAAAAGAATCTTCTTCACCTAAAACCCAAATGACTTTATATTTATATTAACCCATGTAAAAGTACAAAACATTGTGTGTATTCATCTACATTTGCACTAGATGTATTTTCACTCTCACCACTGTTATGCAAAAAGTTTTGAAACTCTTACATAAATGACCCAGTTGTTCTCTGGCCTCTTTACTGTAAATTGATATGTAGAAAAGCATGTATATATAGTGACCTTCTACTCTCTGTCCAACATCTGAGGCCAGCTGTTTGAACATCTGTGCTTATTTTGGATCCTCACAGCTGCTGAGAGGTCAGCCCCAACCTCTGGGTTGACCTGCTCCCCTCTGCTCACCCCGCGGGGATCTCCACTCCCTCCTTCCCCTGACCCTCTCTGCCAGGACACCCCCTCGCCAATCCTGCTGCTCCCCAAACCTCGCTCTACGGTCAGCAGTACAGGAAACTTCAAGACTCCCTCTTTCTACAGAGCAGAAAAGAAGTGCAGCTCATCCAAGACTCTGTCCATCCGGTCTGTTCCCTCTCTCCCTTCACTGACCCCTATAGGTCAAACCCCTGCACTCGGGGCTCCCACTGGACCTAGTGCAGCAGAGGTAAAGCAGCATCTCTCAGACACCTTATGTAGATCTCAAGGCCGAGATTTAATGTAGCATAATGCCACATACTCCCTTTCACCCTGATGATATATCTGGGCAGCTTAGTCAATAATATCTTATCATTATGTTAATTGCAACTGGACATTATCTTAAAGATATCTAACAACTCATCTCAGTCTCCATCAGTTCACTGGGGCAACATCACAGAAACTTTTCCTCTTAACTTAAGTTTGAAATTTAAAAATTCTATCTTCCTATTACGTAAGCAATTCCTAAACTCATGGCTGTGTCCTATCCATAGATTGTATCCTATAGCAGATCATTTATCTTATCTTAAGAAATCCAAACTAGCACTTGTCTTGTCATGTCTGCATCTGTGTTTAGAAGGTACTGCCTGTATCCTTGAAAATCATTGTGTCACTTTTCCTGGCTTCGTTGTAATTGCCATACAGACCTAACAACAGCAGTAACAGCTATGGGACAGGGTCTATGTTATCCTAACTTAGGATTCCTAACTTAGGAAATTCTTCAGTTAGGATGGTTCTGTAATAGCTAAAATCTTATACTAAAATAAAATAGTTTTTTTTAGATAGATTCTTTCCTAAATGCAGTTAGGAAACATGTTTCTGTAATACCAAAAATCCTAAATGTCAACTAAGATAAGATAGGATTTTAGACTTAGGAAGGTTATGTAATGAAGCCCCCTGGTATTTAACATCTTTGAGTGATTCACAAACCTTTACACCCCATGGCAGTCATTGACGTCACTGCATTCATGTGAGAATCTCGAGTAAAATGAATGGAGGTGTGAATTATTAGATAACTGAATGCCTTCATAAACGGTAACCTAGAATTTTAAGGAAGTAAGTCTGTGACCTAAGCATTGCTGGTTGAAATTCCCAGACCAGCTGAGAAAATGCGGGTAGAGAAAGTGAAATAGTAACAGTCCGTCATCAACCATTTTTTAGGCTTGAGGTTCTCTCTTTAGGCAGTTTGGTTATATTGAATCTCCATGTAACCACGAGTCTGAAGTGGCCAGTTGAGAAATTCAACTTTCCTTGATAAATACATCATGTAATTATGTAGAACATGTTGGAATTGCACGTGATGATCTGAATAATTAAGTAGCATGATTTAAATGACTTATTTAACTCCAGGCACAGCAGATAATAGCTGTGCAGCATTTCATCTGTGCCTCTTAATGCATTGTTGAAAATGTCTTTCCGCTGTCACTACTCCATGACAGGCATGGCGATTATATAACCACAAAATGAGTTGCCATATTTCTTCTCGTCCATCGTTTTCCCACCACTCTCTGTCCGTCTCCACTCTTTCGTGTGTTCCCAGATAAGTCCAGTCCAGCATGGCCTACCTTCCCCATCTCAATCTCCTTTGTCTCCGTCCACTGTCCCTCTGTTGACATCCACACTCCTTGAGCTACACAAGCCGTCCATGCCCTCTGCTCCTCAGTCACCATTCCCTGAAGACACCGCCGACCACGGCCACAATTATGGCTTTAGTAAAGTGTCTTCAGTATCACTGAGCCAGTCTACTAAGTCATCAGTACTCACTACTAGAGTTGAGGACAGCCCCACTGCTGCCATGGCCGTCTTTCATAAAAAAGAGGTACGGCTTTTCTTCACTTTAGATTTTGTGATTGATTGACTAATTGACTTGATTGACACTAGTGAAAAAAACTCTAGTGAGTTACTGAGTCGTTGGCTGTAGCCATAAAACAAACGACTGATGCATTACTGTCCGTCCTGACAGAAAACACCACCTTCAGACCAAGGCCTAAAGCCTGCAGAGCTTCATATGTCAGGTAAAAGACCTTTTGGGTTCTTCGTGCTATTTGGATTCCCCAGTTGCTACAGTCTTACCCCACAGCTAGGTCTCCCCTACACCTAAACAACTTTGCAATTCAAATCAATATTAAAATGGGGATCCACTGTAGAGGAAACCCCTGCTGGATACTGGGTAATGTGTGGTTCTTGTTACAGGACCCAGTCGCAAGCGACAAAACTTCTCGTCCAGTAATTCCGAGGAAGATGAGAAGGAAGAGAGGAAGAAAAGCAAACTTAGAGAGCAGCGTTCTCCTCGGATGAAACCGAGGAAGTTGTTCAAGTCCTGTATGACATGTCCTGGTGGAGTAACATCTATTGAGACATCAGCGCCTAGTATTATGAATGTCACCACATTAGTTTTTTAACAACATGAGGAATGTGTGCCATCATTTCATAAACCAACAACATGTTTTTGTTGGTTTAAATGTTTTGTGTGATACTCTACAGTTAAGGTCAGCTGGCCCTATCTTAATAAGTAACTTCTCAACCCATCATTTATGTCCTATATGCCAGTGGTTGTCAAAGTGGGTGTCCTTGAGGAGGTTCAAGGGGGTCCCCAGCAAAAAGGGAATACTATATTTTTGTTAATTCTATCCATAAGTGGCACAGTGACAGGATGTGTGACTATTTTATTTTTAAAATAAAAGATAATGAAATGTGATAATGGATAAAAGCATAGCCAGTATGTGAAGATGTTTGCCTTCTTGTTTAGTTTTGGAAGAAATCCCTATTTTCAACCTGTACCATTTAAACGTTTTTTGAATTCTGAGTTTGTTCCCCCTAACGGACCAGTGGATCTGTCTGTTACTCCCCAGTCACTGAGGTGTCTGCTGAGGGAGAGGTGAGCCGGGTGATATCTTCTTCCCACGCGGTGAGCTCCAGTCATTGGGAGGCTGAAGTGGGGGATGGAGACGTCGACATGGACGAGGATTTGGAGTTGCCAAAAATTGCTGTAAACCCGAGAGACCTGTGCCAGCAATTCAGCTCTGAGCTAAAGAAGAAGTTCCAGGTTGGACGCACACACAACAACACACATTAAAATAGTTCCACAGTAATAATATTATGTAGTTACCTACCTACCTAGTTCCCCTTCTTCTGAAGCAATTTCAAAGGGCACTTTACGTTTGCTGTGTATTTGTGAATGCAGTGACTATGTTTTTACACTTAATATATTCTCACATGTCTTGAGCACTTCATATCTCTTGTCAACTCTGTTTTCATAATCCTGAGCCACTGAAATGTTGTTAAAAGATGGCTTTACTGAACCACTATCTATTTAATGTGTCTGTGTTCAGAATCGTTACAAGATGATGGAGGTTTACAACAAGCAGTCTTTGAAGACCGTCCAGCAACATGTCACCTCCCTCAACATGCAAGTTTCCAAATACAGGTCAGTTAGTATGTAGTGAATGTTGTAAAGAAAACACAAGCTAGCTTTGCCATTCCATATTGGCTAATAGATTACAAAATTAATGTGCAAATTTGTCATTTTGTTTACGATTAAGATACAGAATAGCACAATTTGATGGCCGCTTACCCACCAATATAGTTACTAGAGAAAACCACTGCACAGTCAGCAGCCTGTGTTAATTTCCCAAAGCGATTCTAAGTTGATGTACATAAGTACTTGTATGTTTTATGGGATCCAGCTGCACATTGTTCTGTATTTCTGAAAACGCACTCTTAGCCTTTCAGTTTAGCTTTCTACTTCACTGGTTAATTCTCTTTTCTCTGTACAGGACTCAGAGGCTTGAACAGGTTCAGGAGGTCCTCTTGGAAGAAATCCACAAGTTGGAGCAGGATGACTCTGTGCTGAAAAACATGGAGAAAGACCTGACTGTATGTCACTTTCTGTCTCTGTCACACACACACTATCGCTGTATAACATTTTGGGGGAGAATGTGGAAAGTGATATCATTAAAAACACCATACAATATTCTATTATGAGACTGGCTCTAAATATGATGTGTTCTTCATGTTTGTTTGACCAGTGTCTGATCAGCGTTTGGTCTCTGTTCCCTCACAGTTGTACTGGAAAAAGCAGACCATGGCATTCCGTTCTTACCAGGAGCTGGAAACCAGGAGGTGAAATATATGCGTGCGCGCGCTGAAAGAACCATGTTGTTAGTTTGTTGCTGTTTGCCACACTCTCAATGTAGTGCAGTGCCCACAAGCCTAAACCAGATACTCTGTAAAATGTTGAATAACACTTGTTTTGTTTTTTTCTTTCTGTGAAACATGGGATTAAAAAGCTTGACTGGAAAATCATTTTTTCCCCTCAGGCTTCATCATAAGCTAGATACGCACCCTACAGCACAAGCTATTTTTGAAAGGGATGTGGCCAGTGCTTCTTCATATGACTTTGCTGAATTCATTGATGTTTATTTAGCAAACATTCCCCTATCATTACCCAGCCTCATCTCTCTCCAGTTGACCCCATCGTTTCATCTATCCGTACTGAGTGTCTCAGTTCCTTCAGCTGTAAAACACTGTATATATTATAGGGATGCACCAAATGTTCGGCCACCGAAATTAATCAGCCGAAAATAGCGAAAAAAGCACTTTTGGTGTTTCTGCCTAAAAAGTCAAAAGACCAAAGAAATTTTTAACGAACAATTACGCTGACATGTCGGCAGTGTGGAAGCATTTTAAAGTGTCTGAGAAAGACACATAAATTGCCGTTTGCAGTCACTGTTCTATTGAATTGTCTCCTAGTACATTCACTCCATCTGTGGCTGAATTCTGATCTGACCCGCTTTGAGTGTTTCTGTCACTCATTTGTGAGAAGGCGATTAAGCTAGACGCACCTACATTTGGAGTGCACACGTATTTAAGCCTTTATGGTAAATCCACTGAAACGGACCAGAGCGAGCTGACAGGCAGGTTAGTGACTTTATCCTGTCATTTTCTCTCTTTACAAAGAAAAGTGTTACAGTATGAGAGTCCTACCTGAAGAGAGGGTATTAACCACACACAACATTATTTATCAAATTGGGTTGGAGGGTACACGTGAAAACGTCCAGTTTTCAAAATAAGGTGTCTATACAGTATGGAAATAAGATTAACTGGATTATATTCACAGAAAGTATAAAACATTACATGTGTCCATTAAAAGTAATCATCATTTCAGTACATCCCTATATATTATGGTACCACAACTGCAATACACAGATTTTATGTGAGATGATGACATCGAGTGACTGTCAGTGGTTTTCAGTTCCTTTTCATCTTGCTGGGTAGTTCAATTTTGAGTGATTCTGCTGTCACATAAATGCACAAAACTTTACTTTTCAAATGAGATCTGTGCTTCCCCACATTCATAGATTTGTGGGTTTTCTGCTTTATCTGTTAGAATTCTTTTTTGATTCTGAATCACTTACATCTTATGAAGGGGTCAGTGGTGGACTTTATATTAAGCTACATCTAAAAACCATTTTGACTTGACACTTATTAAGAAATACTGCATTTGATGTTTATCAGTGTTCCCCATGTTACCCTCAAACCTGCAGTATATTTACTGCTTTCCTTTACCTTTAGTTTGTGTGTTCTCCCACCTTCTTCAGCTGTCCCTCATTTGGTTGTGTAACTGTCTGTCTCCTTCCCTCCAGAAATGAGACCCTGAAGAAAGCCCTCCAGACTAACGCGTGTCAGAGCTTGGAGTACGAGGAGAGAATCTTCACATCCCAGGTCTGAACCTCCGGCCTAAATTTTACAGCTGACATTTAAAATGTGCTTCATTGGGTTGCTCAAGTGTTAGACTTCTAATAAGCTGTGTAAATCAAGAGCTCAGGTAGCTTTCAATGAGGAGTATTTATTTACAGTTCATCAACCTATTTTTTTTTGTCTTTTTTTTTTTTTTAAATAGAATGCGTCACCTCTGTCTGTCCAATCATTTTTTGCTGAGTAGCCTTTATAGTGTTTAGCTTATCTCATTGTCACATCATGTGTCAGCTCGTCCCCTGCTTGTCCTGACTGTGTCATATTCTATGTTGCTGCTCTTTAAACTGTGCTGCTCCGCCTGCTGTTTTCAGATGTGCCTGATAAGAAAAGACATGAAGTCAGTTCAGGACAGACTCCTCAGTCAGATGGTGAGTAGACATAACATAGCTCAAACCTTCAGCGTGGATTAGAACAGAACAGTCAGGCTGGTTTTATTTTGTGTCCTTCACTCTGTCGGCTGAACAATGCTCCTTTTAAAGGCCGTACATAGCGTACAGTGCTTACGACTCCTACGATATTGTGTAAGATTTGAAATGAAGTGTCTCTCCTGAATGTTTCTTTGTGCTTGTGTACCTTTTTGTAGCAAGAGGGGGAGCTCGAGAGTGTGAAGAGAGGTCTGCATGCTTTGTTTTTCCCCTGATGGAGCCAGATTTAGAATTGAACAAAGTCCCGGCAAAGGTCACTACATTATAGACAAGGTGGTGTATTTCACCACATGATACACACTGTGCTGTGTACTTCAGCTCTGCTGATTTCATTTCAAAGTGATTGCCTGAAGTGTTTTCCTGGTTCTGCTTTTATTGAATGTGGATGTGTTAGGTTTATTCTGACCTGGATGTGTTGTTGCCATGTTTGTTTTTTATTAGTTTTAAATGTTAAATTATTCTGATATTTATTATTTGACATTTATAAATTCAATCATTTTTAGTGTTCTTTGACAGTAATTAGAGCCAATACGCTTTTTCCATGTCTTATTTTCTTGGCTGTTTTTAATAATAAAATCCAATTTATTCATGTAAGTTAGTTAAGTACTGCAACACGGCCAGCTAAACATTTAAAATGTTACATCTATCAGCTGTTTTTAAATTCCTCTTAAACTTCGATTCTTAATTCAAAATAAAAAGTGTTTAAAAAATGAGATAAGCCATTCTTAAAAAAGACCTTGTATTTTGAAGACAAGTAGTGCTTACAAAGGTATTTCTCTTTTCAGTGAAGACATCCACTGCCTCATTCAGATTGACATACTGTATGTACAGTTAATATCAAATTCATCCCTAATCCCACCTCCCCCAGACTGCACAGTCCAAGTGACACATTATTCATCAGTTAAGAAAAGGTGAAGCTGGTCACATGCACAACTTCTTCCCACTACACAGATTCACACCGCCTTGTCAAAGGAGTCCATGAAATAGTACAAAAAAACAACAACACTGACTGACAAGATGGTTTTCCCCTCTGCTCTCATCCTGAGAGTCAAAGGCTCCACCAAAGTCCTCTTCCACCAGCCAGCTTCCATGTGGCGTCATTCAGTAGTCTCCAGGACACTGTCACCTTCTCTCCCATACCCAGTGCCCTCATACTGATGATATGATAGTCAAGGGTGCTGGAAGAATGTTAAAGACACGCTGAAGACGAAAAAAGGCTCCAGGTTCTTTGAACCGTCATCGCTGAGCAGCTTCAGAAAATTTCCAAACTCAGCATTTCTTCACAGAAGAAACTCCCTGCTTTCACGGCCGGTGGAACCTGGAGAGACAAATGCAGAGAAACCGTGTGAGAAGCAGAACAGTCAGCGAGAGCACAGGGTGCCTTTGTCATCATACCCAGCTATTAATCACTTCTGTGGGGCTATTTTTAGCACGGCCATTAAATGTGACGAGGGGCGGGACACGCACTCGCATCCAGTCCTCCCTCTGGGTTACCGTTACAACTCACAACAAAAGACCCCTGCTTTCCAAACAAGCTTAACCAAGGACACCGTGGTATTATATCACTTCTCGAGCTCTCCAGAGCACAGCCCCCACCCCATCTATCTTTAGCTCATTGGTGCTCTCTGGATGAGCAAGGAGAGCTAAATTTAGACCGCTGCTGCCCGGAATAGAGCAAACGTGCCTTTCCAAACACAGACACGCTTCAGAATAGAAAGAACACTGACCTCGTTAGGTGTTTGCTTGAGGCGTGCACTTCCATCTCGGTACTTTTAAATTCGTTCAGCTCTTTTCGGATTGCGGCCTGTGGGGAAGAGGAAAAACAGCATTAGTGCATCCCTAAGTACATCCAGAGCCACTGGGGTACTGCATCCTTTGAACAGCCATAATATAACCAGCCTAAAAATAAAAAAACTAAAAGAGAACAGGGGATTTGGTGAGATAAGCTGCTAACAGTGGCATCCAATGTAAACAGTCCTGAAAAGCTAAGAATCATTTGGCCTTCTTTTGATGATAAGTCCAAGTGATTAGTGGCAGGTATAAATGTTGACCTGTACTGTGTGGCTGTTATTTCAAAAATTCAAAGTTTCTTAACTATAAAAAATGATACAGTATATACATATAGTATAATATTACAAATATTATCACAGTAATACACACCTTGTCTGCTGCTGAGAGTCGAGTCCAGGGCTTGTCTGCTCTCCTGTCATAGTCCTGAGCTTTGGCCACCTCCACATAGTCACTGAAGCGGATCAGAATTTTTCTGTCTCGTAGTTCATCTACTGTGGGCCGCTGGTTGAGCTGGGAAACACAAGAAAATGGGACAAACATTTATAGCTGGCTGCTACTCAGTTTGAATTAACCAGAGTCTCCAGTGTGCCTCACAGTGACCATTTGACTGATATTGTTTTGGTGTGATGGTTGATCAAAAATAAATAAAAAATGCTTCTGAATAAAAGGAAAGTAGATGTGTACCTTTCTGTTTAGCCGCTGTTTGATCTCCCTCCTCTCCTCTTGCTCTGTCTGGTCGTTTCTCTCTGGGGAAAAAAGAAAACAGCCAAATTAGAAATTCGTATCATATCAGCAAGTAAACAATTATACAAATATATTAAAGACACTACAGGGTATTGTTTTACTCTATACACTATAAATAGATTCATCACCCATCATGTAATTAAATTGATGTGAAATCTGTAAAACTATGTAAGCCATAACCAGGTTATCATGCCCAGAATCTCTACACATTCAGTTCCTTCCACCTTTAACAGGTTTTACGGTGGAGAGAAGGGATGTGCACTCATGCGTGCCTTTGCTCCTGAATAATGTACTACACTGGGCAATCTGTGCTATTATTAATGCGCAGTTTTGCCATGTTTTGTGTGTTTTTTTGACCAGGGTTTTTAGAGATATTTTCGTAAATATAAGTATTAGTAGATGAAGAGAGGGTCATTTGGAAACAGAAATGGGAGTGTTTGAACTTACGTTTCAGGATGTTCCGACTCTCCAGCTCCTCCACATTCGGTCTCTGGCTCAGCCTCCTGCGGAGAAACACCAAAACCACGTTTTGAACCATTCTGACTTCAGCTGCCCCCCCGTCCTATCTTTAAACCGGCTGTAGTTTCTTCACTGTGCGCGTTCTCGAGAGGAATCCCCTATGTCTCCATCTCGCATCCAATCCACGGCTGTGATGCTTCGGCAGAGGCGCTCCCCACATCTGGAATAGTCAAAGAAGCGCAATTCTCCCGTTTGAGAATTCTCCACCGGATTATTGTTCAAGTTCAAGATGCTGCATCTCAGGTGCAGCAGCCGTATTGCGTTTACTCCGGACCGCAGCAGCAGCTCAGGCACTCCTCTCGACTCTCAGCCACGGACTACAGGCGCTTTTGAAGTGAGTCGTGATGGGCTGCTGGGGCGCGACTTCCCTAGTTTCCCTGGTTACTGCATGCATAATTTGTAGGAGGCGGAGCTTCACAGGCTCTTACTCACGGCATCCCCAACCTCCTAATGTACACTGGGCTACTGGCACAGTCACTACACACAGGTTGCACCAGTTCATTTTATTTTTAGTCACGTAAGACGGTTTTGTTTTAAAGGAAGAAAAATAATCTATTTCGAACAGAGAAGAAAATACAAGATACAAAATACTGCAGCATATTTTACCATCTAATACAATCCCAATCTCTTCTTTGTTATAATAAACTAGTTTAAACATTCATGTCACACTTTGTAGCCTACATTCATTTGCTGTCAAGTGCCCACATCATCAAAGCGTCCAAAAGGTCTCCAAAATCCAATGTTTTCCCGGAGTCCCCTGTGCATGTATGAACTATTCCTATGTGGTGTAAATAATAAATGTGAGCTGCACAGCAGGGCTCAGCTCCAGACAGCATGTGGCGCGCCCCACAGCACACCTACAGAGGTGGAAAAGGACAGAGAGGGCAAAATGTCGCCACGCAGCGGGACTCTCTTCATCCCCTCGCCCAAGATAACATCGGACACTTTATAGTTCTGTCCGGTAAAAGATCAAAGTTAGGTCACACGTGCTGAGACGCCCACAAAGCAGGTGGCCCAATGTGTGACATGTGTGCCACTGGGTAGATGGGCACGATATAGCTAATAAAATCATTTTAGTCTTCTTAGCTGTTAATACAAGGCCTATTAAGCGGGACTTGAACCAACCTAAAAACAAATTTGTGTAACAACAGATGCCAGGTTTAAACAGAAAAGGCATCAGTAGGCTACTGCTCAAATGCATTATGTAATAGTCATTTGTTTTTTATCAGTGAATCCACATTGGAAGGAAAGAGAGTACAGGCAGTCAGTCTCTGCTAATTAACACATATGTGACTAGACATCCAGGAATAGCATGAAAATTCATTTGATAGTTGGACTCCCCGAGCAAACTCTCTTCTGAGAAATTAGATGAAAAATGGAACACAAACACCAAGAACTTGTCTCGAACACTTTGATCGTTTTGCACATAATCAATATAGAGGAATTACTTCCTATTAGCTTTTTTTATCCTCCTCTGTGAGGTTCCCCTTTTTAATTTAAAGTTGTTTTTTGATCAAATCAGACATGTTTTATGCGAGAGACATAGTGTTCCCAGAGCTCTTACTGTATTACATTTTAAACACATAAAACATAAAATCACTTCCAAAGCCCCAGCGAATACGACCATCCACTATTATTGACCTGGTCACCGAGTTGCTTAGCAACAACACTTGGTATCTTTGAGTCCTCCTGCAGAAAATGCTGCTTCTCCCTAGCAACTCACTAATGGGGATTTCACTACTGCACAGAGAGAATCTGTGGCTATTTTTAGAAACAAACCACTTGTATTTTTTACTCTCTGTCGGTGAGCTGAATAAATCAGAGATCACTGTCAACATGTAACACTATCAGTTACAAAGTCAGATTTTCTTCCTGGAGCTAAATGAATCACAAAAAATCAAATGACTGCTGCTCTCAGGTGACAAATCCTGGCTTATTTGGGATAACTGAGGATATCACTACATGAGACAACACCTTGACTCATTCCCACTGGCTTCTGCACCCACCGCTTTCTACATCCGGGTTTGATAGCTGAAATAAGATATTGAAAGGTATCCCCAGAATACCGTGATGACGCATGAACGCCCGTTGGCACAAGGATTTCCATTTGCCACTAAGGATTTTCTGTAATAAAACGAGTTGGAACAGAAAACGTTGCCAGCCAAGGGAGGAACAAAAAGTCCTAACAAAGGAATGAAAAACCAACGAGTGGGTGGCAGAGACATTCACTCTTTTCTTTTACTTCAGCTGCCAACTGCGCAAGTTGACAAAATTGGCCATTCAAAGCTTTCTTCCTTTTTCCAAGTACAGTAGCAGGCCCCCGCCTACCCCCCCCCCCCCAGATATTTCTGCTGATATAACTCCCGACAACACATTTCAGGGAGGAAGGGAGTGCATTATTGAACAGTGTCAGGAGCTAAAATTA